TATATATATATATATATATATATATATATATATATTTTTTTTTTTTGCATCATGTTATGTATTCGCACAGTGCATATCACTCGCAACTGGTGTAACAGTTATGATAATATTTATGTTTTGACTGCTGACATTGAAAAAATAAAAAAGTGCTAGTAAGACACTTAATTGAAAGAAGTGTACTTGTAGCCAGGGAGAGAAAAGGCGAGAGAGAGAGTGAGATGTACCTCTTGTAAATCAAAATGAAACAAAAATCTCTTTCCTCGGCAATGCAGTAATTATATAAGCTACTGGTACATAAATACAGTATTTGTTTTCTCTTTGCAGGTCCATGCAAGAAGAGATAAAAATGAGTGAAGAAAGACACAGGTCTGAGATGAAAAATTTACAACAAAAGCTTCAGGACACAGAGGAGAGATTGAAAGGTACATGTTTCCACATGGTCTGTACTGAAACTGAAGTTACTTGATTATTTCTCAGCTGTTGAAAATTACTTTTTACTTTTAATTTTATTTAAGTACAAGTAATAATTTTTAAAATGATGCATACTTGGATTAATGTAGACATGAACATATTAGGATATCTACCATGTTGGCATTTTTGTTAATTATTTTAGAAAAAAACTAAAATCTATTTCTAGTATATTGTATGTTTCTTCAGCTGCCAATGCCAGGATACAGGGGCAGTTGGAAAGTAAAAAGAGTGAAGATCTTGAAGCCAACAAGAAGATTCAGCAGTTACAGAAAGAGAAGGACGAGATGCTGGATCTTGCCATGCAGAGAGGGAAGCTTGTGCAGGTACTGAGGATGCAACTTTTAGATAAATGGCACATAATGAGTTACTATCCCTTTCTGTAGCAAAAAAAAAAAAAAAAAAAATGAAAGAAAGAAAGGGAAAAATTTGAAAATTTCAGCAATTTTCCATTGATCTACAAAGTAAAATATTGAGTAACTATACATTTGTTGAAGCAAAAAGAAAAGAAAAAAGGAAGGAAGAAAAAATCCAAGAAAAGTCAGCAATTTTTCATTGAACAAAGTAAAATATGAATACCTTTATATAGGAAAAGAAAAGGAGTGAAAAATCTTGGAAATTTCAGTATTTTTCATGCAACATCACAGTAAATTCTATACACAACAGCTGGCAATGGCTTATTGTGTGCTCTACATCTCTTTTTACAGAAAGAACAGTCTGAAAACAAAAAGTTGCAGAAGAAAATTGAAGAACTTGAGAAAGCAGTGCAGGATATGGAAGCCAAGTTTGAGTAAGTTGTAAAAATGTCCACAGCTGGCTTAGCAAAAGAGTTAATGGACTAAAAGTTGGTGTCAACTTTAAAAAAGCTAAAATTTTGGTCTACTTAAGTTCAGGATATATTTGTATTGATCCACTGAAATTAAGTGATAATCAGCTTTTTTACACAAAAGATTTGGTCTTCTTTAATTCAGGATATATAATATATGTATTGGTCCGATGGAATCAAGTGATTATTGGTTTAAGATATGTTCACTTTTAAAATCAAATCAGCCCCATGAAGTTCATTGAAGTGAACGACCAGTGATCTAACAGTTGAGACCATTTCAGGTCAAAGTAGGCTAAAATTGTTAGTCTAAAAGTTAGAACCCTCTGTTAATCAACAGAATTGAGCCTATTAAAAGGCCACAGATTATTTTGAGAGTCATAAAGGTCCCATGTAAAAATTAAGGACGGGAGTAGGTGCAGTGTGTGTGGCTAAATTTCTTCTCGCAGTCTTTGGACACATCCAGATTTTATCTCAATATACTTCGTAATAGTTAAATTTTTTCTGAAGGCGTGAGGCAGCCATGGTTAATGCGAATCTCCGAGTGAGAAAAATGCAAGAGGAAATGGAGGAAGCTGTGGAGAGAAAAGACGAACTGGAAAAGGTAAAATTTGCCTGAAAATAATTATGTAAGAATTTACTATAAGTGTGAGGAATTTGGTCTTGGTCAGAAAAGAAAGGCAGAGGATTGCGAAGTTAAAAAGTTAACCATAAATGGTCTTATTTTTAGCTATTAGGTTAAGCCTTGACATTTTGAAGATCTTTGAATATGCTGTTGAACTTGTCCTGTTATTTTTTATATTTTAAAAATATTTTTTTCTTTTCTTCAGGAGTTTGAAGCCTACAAGAAACACTCCAGCTCACTTCTGCAGAAAGAGAGAGAACTCAATGCAAAGCTGAGACATTTAATGGGATGACAAAACTAATGAACTTGTGGTCATTACATGCACTAATCAGCTCACAAGAATTTTTTCAAGTGATGATGGTATTTGTTAGAAAGAGGGAGAAATCGGACTAAAGCTGAGAAATGTGATGGAATGAAAAAAGGAAATCTTTGCTCTTTGCTGTTGGTAGTTTTGTTAATGACTTGAAACAGCCGTTTGAATTGAATGAGAATTCTATAGTCAGCCGTCTATTCCAGAAAGGCTTATTTCCTGTTCTAGAAGGGACATGGTCTTTTATGTACAGTGCCTAATGTTAATGATTGTAAATACTGATTGTCAGTCTTAAAGTAGACAGGACATACCAAGAAACAAACACCTTTCACATCAACTTCTTCCATGAATGGTTGATGGTGTCATCCTTCCATAAAAATTTGTGATTTTCATGTTAAGTCATCTTTCATATTGCAAGATACTGAATTCTTATAGGACCTATGAAGCATGCATAATTTGCTCATCATATTATTTTTTCAAATATTCAAATTGGATTTTATAAGTATTATTATTATTATACCGTTTTTCTATGACCAGATACAGTACTATATATAGTATTATATATAGTACTACATTTGCACTGCTGCCTTATTATATTGGAAAGAATGTTCATCCGTTCAATCATAACAATTTCATGAACATGTAAAACAGGACTTCCTGCTAGATATTTTCTTCAGTCACTGTAGATGATATGCCGTGTACTTTGTGCCTTTAAAGTTAGATGTTGTAATGTTAAAGAAAGGCATTCTAAATGTTAGTATGCAAAAGTTTCTTTTTTATTGTTATTTTTCTTTTCTTTTTCATACACACTTGCCCATTTTTAGCTTGACAAAACAATCAAGCTTTTTAAAAGGGGTCAAGTCTAGTTTGAGTGTGCCTTCCTATGTTGGTTATCCAGACCAACTATACTGCATTTAGTTGCATATGTTTAATGAGACAACATATTACAAAACTGTTACATTAATTATGAAGTCATTCATATATATGTGTGCTGTCACGTCACATTTGCTGATATCTAGTAAATGGAATATGGCACATGATCTATTTGCACGTTCTAAAAGAATCTAAACAATTTGTTGATCTTGTCATTAGCAAATAAAAAGAATGGCAATGTTCAAGGATTCTCTTTGTTGGGAGTTGTGCCCTATTCAACGAACTAACAGATTGTAAAAAGCAGGCTACAAGCTCCAGTATCTAGTGAAATAGTGGCCTTGCTCAGGAAGGGGTATTTAAACCAGCTTCTGACGAGAATTTCCAAGTTTCTGCATTGAATAGGTGGGCCTCATAAAAGTAGATGTAAATACCAGGACAAAATTGGAATATTAGTTTACATGTCTGCCAAGAATCCCACTAATTTAAATATGATTCAACATGAAAGACTTTTTTTTCTGGACAAGAAACTTTATTGAATACTTTGTCCAACTCACAATCCATCACAAAACAATGGCAGCATCTGGCTGGCTTTAATAACACACACACAGACGAGACCAGGGTGTCTAAGAGACTGGATATTAAATTAACAGAAACTTCAGACCGCCTTTGGCAAACCAAGTGCCGCTTAGGAAAAAAAAAACAAACTATTTTACAATTTTCTGAAAAATACCAAAAGTTTCTACAATTCACTGCATTTCTGTCTTGCTTTCAATGTGGGCAGTTTTCCTCTAGGATGCCTCAAAATCATAAGTCGATATAAGAGGACTGAACATTTCTTGCAGAAAAAAACTTCCACTTTAAGTGAGACTTCCCATTCCCTAGATGAAAACTGCCACTCGTGTCCCTTTTCAATAACCTCTGTCCAACCAAATCCTTGTGCAAAAAATATCCAAGCTGTGTCCTTCTATTACAATCAATTAAACAAGTAAATCTTTCAGTGCTGCTGTCCATCTTTATAATACAATTCCCACATTTTTTTCATTGAACAATTTCTAATTTTCATCGTGGAATACTATATGAAACAATAAGTAACCTAGATGTATTGTTTTAAGTCCTATGGTATAATTGCAGGTTAATTTGCAGCCTGTTCCTCGGCCAGTTCGTCAGCTCTGACCAACACCTCGTCCACTGTGCCGGTCATGTAAAAGGCTACCTCTGGGATGTGGTCAAGCTCACCTGTAAGGAAAGCGACACTTGTCACTGAACAACTGAAATAGGCTAATTCTGTAACAGCAAAATTTTTATCAACTCGCCCCCTAATATACTTCAGTATTCTTTCTACATTTTGTTTCTACTCTATTGTGTAGTGATGCTTCCATTTAATTCAAATTTTTACACCGAATATCAAACATAGGTCAGAACACATTTAACTAACAAGTCGTAGGAACAATTAGGAAAAA